GGTATGCGGGCCTCTCACTGTTGTGGCCTCTCCCGTTGCGAAGCACAGGCTCCGGACGCGCAGGCTCAGCGGCCATGGCTCACGGGCCCAGCCGCTCCGCGGCATGTGGGATCCTTAGTACTTTTGACATGTTTCCAAGGTTATAATTGCTTCTCTTACCTGCCTTTATCTCTTACCTCTACAGTCCCACCAGGTGAATCTTCATTCCCCTCAAAAGATTGTTATAAGAATTAAATCAGACCAAAAAACAGAAGAATTAAATCAGACAATCCATGTAAGGCACTCAATATAATAATGCCTGGCATATGGTAAGAGCTATTATTATCCACTGATCAGAAGTAATCACGACTCTCCATTACTTACAGCTTCAAATCCTAATTCTCAGCTGCATGGTCTGCCCAGCATAGTGACACATCACAATCCCCCATCCAAACACTGGGCACTTTCACACTTTCAAGGTGAATTGAGTACAGCTTCTTCATGCTTTTTCTTCTAGAATGTTTTTCTTTATTCTCAGATCCTCCCCTTTCTTCAAGTAACAGGACAATTCCTATTACTATTGATACCTTTCCCTATTGATACCTTTTTCCAGATCTTGGTCTACCACTCCCCAACATGGTAGTCATCAGCCATATGTAGCTATTTAAAATTTTAATTAAAAACTTTTTAAATTCATTTTCTCATGCTAACCACATTTCAACTGCTCAGTAACCACACATGGCTAGTAGCTACTGTGTTAATCAGCACAGTATGAACATTTGCATTGCTGTAGAAAGTTCAGTTGAACAGTACTGATCTAGACCATGACCATAGTAAAGTTACCAGCCACTCCTTTAACTGCTGGAGGACTTCGCTGTTCAGTCATTTAATGCTTAAATGCGTACTGCCCCTGAATTTTTAGTTAACTTTCCCAGTGTGTACCTTGTTTTCTCAACTAGATTGTTAGCACCTAGGTCAGGGCTGACTTTTCTTTCCTCTCCTATGATTTAATCAACACAGAAAAAGTGCTCTAGGTATTTGTTAAAGGAAAGAAAATAAACAAGAGGAGAAGAGGCCTCAAATTTAACCGAGGAGAGAAAAATAATAATTTTAAGGGCAGAGATCTTTATGTTCTCTCCTTACTTTGTATTGGCCCTTCCTACCCGGTGCACAATTGCTTTAAGCCTAAACCTTGATTTCTCAGAGAAGGGTCTGTGGAAGCAACAACCGAAAAAGTCCATTTTCAGAACAACTGCAAATTATTTTTCTATGATTGCATTTTTACCACACAACAAAAAATAATTCACTCACACGCGAACACCAACCAGCCAACAAACAAAAACCCCATCCAGTATCAAATGGACTCCTGCCCCATATTTTGTTCAATCTAGAGAACCTTTCATTTGCAATTATTCTGGTCTTTGCATTGGTCCTCCCCTCCACTCCAGATTCCTTTCTCTGTAACATTTAAGAAAACAATCCAAAGAAAGAAAGAAGAAGGGAAAAACCCCTTTGCCTTATGACCAAAATACATGTTCATTGTAAGAAAATCAGAAAATACAAATAGGTAAACAGAAATAATCAACCCGTGAAATCCCAAGACCCAGAAAAAAAAAAATCAGTTTTAACATCTGGGGTGAACTTCCAGAGTTTTTCCCACATATACACATAGACCCATATGCGAAGGGTAGCTCTCGTTATATGTAACTATTTTGTAAACCGCTTTTACTGTCCACTTAACATTTCTCTAACAAAAAGAAGTTTTTAGAACTGCTCATGCCATCTTTTTGGCATGTTTAATAGTTAACTATAACTTAGCATTCACCCTTATTCTCATATGTATTCTTTTCATTTTGACTTATTCTTAGCTTGAAACTAGACAGAGGCAAGACAGAAAAA